GAGCCCGAGCCCGAGCCCGAGTCCGAGTCCGAGTCGAGCAACGAGACAACGCGACGCCGATCGTCTCAGAGTCGGACAAACTGGAGTCGTGTGGAACCCGGCGACGTAGACAACGGAGCATTTCGCTTCGGCTGCAGCCGGCAACGCGGCAACTTCTTGAGCAGTCTGTACATCGCTGTCAAACTGTGCTACCTCATCAACATTATCGGTCAGCTGTACCTGATGCAGGTGTTTCTCGGCACCGAGTACGACTCTTCATCGTACGGTCTGCTGGTCCTGATTGATCTGCTTCGCGGTCGCCAGTGGCGCCAGTCTGGCCATTTTCCAAGAGTCACTTTCTGCGATTTGGAATCAAAAAAGTTGGGCAACAATCACATGTAAGGCGTTGCGAAGACGGTTGAGTTTATGCTAAACTTGATGTGTGCATTACAGACTTGTATTTGTCATGAGGAGGTCAAGTTGATGTAGGTCGCTCAAGGTGAATTTAGAAAAGTCAACTTCATTCTATCACAAAGAAATGAGTCAATTGTAATGGAACTTTTGGGTTGATACAGTCCTCGAAATGATCTCGCTCATTTCCATGAAGTCATGAAAAAATCTTTTTACCAAACCCAAGGAGATTGGCTCATCAAACATCTTCACTCTAAATGAAAAGTAGTACAACAAATATTTGTCAAAATAGTCCTTGAAAAATATTTTGTCTTAGCCGCATCTGTGCGCATTTGAAGAGCACAGTCTTCCAATTTCGGTGAAATTAATCTTTAAATATTGGCATCACACATATTTACTCGAAATGGAAATGAATTTAGAAAGTAGTATACAACAAGTTCATCAAAAACCGAATTATCTTAGTATCCATTTGTATATAATGTAAATACACACACACACACACACACATATATATATATATATATATATATTAATTTATTAATTTATTAATTTATTAATATTTATATATTATAATGAGGTAAATAATGATTTGGCTATTTATGGTTAGACTTAGTACAGAAAGTTTATTTGTGACTTACATAAAAATCAACGAAGCGAATTATTCTAGTCTTCCCGGAATGAACACTTTTTGTGAGCACAATTAGCCGATGGAGAAATTCTGGATTGTTTTCTTGACTTGGTTTCGTCCCATCTTCTGAAAGACACCCAAACTTCTGGTTATGCAAGTTGAGCTAATAATCCTAACCTTTTTTTTAGTTAAATTTATTCTGGCATTAAGACCACCATTTATGTATTAAAAGGAAATTGAGTTTCATGAATCCCAAAAATAAATTCCTGAAATTTTTGCTTAAATTTTTTCTGAAAAGGCGACTGGAAGGTATGTCGTAAATTTGCCCCATCAGAATGGGAATATGACTGGTTTAGCCAACTATGATTGCATATTTGTAGGTCTAATAAAGCCCTCTATGCCTAGTTCTGTTATGAAAATTCAACCTTGCCAATTTTCCATCTCTCGAACTTCATAAAGTGTTGGCTTGCAGTCTGAAGTTGTTTGTGGTGGTGATACAGACAAAAGATCAGCACCGAGGTTTTAGAGACGCAGGACGTTGCGTTGAGGAGTTTTTTGCATAACTTCACCATCACAACTGGCTAAGAGCAGTTCTTCAATCCCTCTTATTTAACAAAACGAAATGTAGAAAAAAACATGTATTTGCGACGAAACCAGTCAGATTGAGCAAGGCTCTTGTGTAAGCATATTCAACAGAGCACACAGATTATCGTCCAAGTCAAAGGAAAAAAACGTTTAAGTATATATTTTTTCGACCTTTCAATCTAGAACCTTCAGAAGTTAATATCCCAATTTTGCTATCCCGATACAGTGGCTTTTACTAGAGTGAATTTCGTGAATATTTTTCGGCCTAACTACTTGAGACAGGTAGAGCACCATGAAAAACTTATTCAGTTTCTTCTTGATGAGAGTAACGAAGCATCAATAAAGCATGGGATACCGAGTGAGTGCCTATGTGAACTATCTCGGGAATAAAATAAAGAGCAGTAAAAGATAACCTATGCTTTGCGTGCACACAATTCGTCCTATTCGAAGTAGGTGTGTGAATATGAGATAAGAGCATGCAAAATAAATATTAAATAATTTCTAGACATAAATAAACATTCAATTACTATATTTATTTCTCTTTAAATTTGATCACACCACCTGGACTTTTCAAATCAAGGTATTAATGCCAAATATTTGGGGGGAAATGTTATGTAGGTTAGACTCGTCCTGTTGTAGTTGCACAAAAGCCAAACCTATTGTAAATAAATGGCATAAAATGGCTGAAGATTTGATCACTACAACAGTTTTATAAAACATTTCTCGTGTCAAAAATATGTAATCGCTAACTTTCTAATCTGCCTTTTAACGGCTGCTAAGTGGTACCTCCTGCGGTTCATTGTATAGAATTACACAAATAACAAACTAAAAAATGTGAGAATTAGTGAACTACATTAACCTAGCAAGGAAAAATTTTAAATTATTTATTTTATTAATAATTATATTTTCATCTGCTAAGTTGATTCCTTGCATGGACAAGAAAAAGTAAGCCCTTTTCACAAATGTATTTTTGATACCAAATCTAAAACTACATATATACATATTACAATCTGGTCCATGCAAGGAATCAACTTAGCAGATAAAAATATAACTATTAATAAAATAAATAATTTAAAATTTTTCCTTG